CCTGCGCAGGGAGCCGGGCTTGGGGCCTCTGTCCAGCTGTGAGCCACATGCGGGGCGATGGCTGGGCCTGGGGCCTGGCGCTCCCTGAAGCCCCGTGCGGCTGGCGGAGCTGAGAAGCCCCAGGAGGAGGCTGCGGGGAGGCCATGCCTCCTGTTCTGGGGGCCTCCCTGCCCCCCGAGCCAGCAGGGCGCCAGGCTGCTGCCCCACAAGACCGAGGCCAGGACGCCGAGGCCAGGACCGCCGAGGCCAGGACCGCCGAGGCCAGGACGCCGAGGCCAGGACCGCCGAGGCCAGGACCGACGGAGGCTGCTGTTCTGGGGGCCTCCCTGCCCCCCGAGCCAGCAGGGCACCAGGCTGCTGCCCCACAAGACCGAGGCCAGGACCGCCGAGGCCAGGACCGCCGAGGCCAGGACCGCCGAGGCCTGCTGAGGGATGGGGGGCCTGATTGGGGATGGGGAGGGATGGGGGGCCTGATTGGAGGGATGGTGGGCCTGCTTGGGGATGGGGAGCCTGCTTGGAGGGGTGGGGACGGGGGGAGGCCGGCTTGGAGGGAGGGAGGACAGGCGGCGCTGGGAGCACTGTCCGGAGGGCGTGACCATGTTGATGGGGGGGGGGGGGGGGAGGGGCTGCCTCTCCTACTCCTCGCAGCCCCTGGCCCTGGTGGCGGTGGCTTCAGCTTGGAACAATCAGAGGGAGGGTTTCTGAGCAGCAGGGTGGTGCTCCCACCCGTGGGGCCCCCTGGGGAAGTGGGAGGACAGAGGGAGCCAGGCCCACAGGGAGCAGCCATGCTGCGGGGTCAGGAGAGGTGGGTCAGGGCCGGTGGGGGCTGTGGAGACCGCTGAGGGTCGGGAGGCAGGTGTTGGGGTGGCCACGGGCAGGGGTGACCCCCAGGGAAGGGGCTGCTCCCGGATCAGCTCCGGGGAGGACGGCAGTGCTGGCTGCATCGCCGTCCTCTCAGTCCTGCCGGGGGCTGCCAGGTGGTGCCGCCTCAGCCCCGGGAAGGGCGGGTGCGGGCTGTCCGGATGCCCGGCCTCGGCCTGCGGGGCCAGGAGGATGCCCCCCCCCCCTGCTGCTCGCGGGGATCCTGGGCCTCGGTCAGAGGAACAGGGCTCCCTCAGAGAGGAGGGCTTCCTGTCCCCGGTGTCAGCCAGGACCTGCCAGCGCCTCCCTCCATCCGGAGGCTGGTGTGGGTGAGGGAGCGGGTGGGACTCCGCCCCCACCGGCCCCGGGAAAGGAAGATGAATTCTGTGAACACCTCGCAGGTGCGGGGAGGGGGCAGGGGACCCCGAGAAGGGCCGGAGCTCCGTGGGGGCCAGCAGGCCTCGCCGCCGGCCAGGACTACGATTCCTGGGAAGAGGCTGCCGGTTCAGGAAGTAAGTCATCTTCCCTCTGGGACGTACTCGTTTCACAAAACGGGGAGATCGAGGAATGAACCATTTCAGTCAAAAGAGGGACACAGAGAAGGAAGACAGACACCTGGTCAGGAGCAGGAAGAGACAGAGGGCTGAGCGGGCAGAGGCTGAGTGCGGGGCCCGGGGCCGTGAAGGAAGCAGGTGGCCGACTGCTCTGCGGAGGGTGCTCCCGGCAGGGCGGCCAGTGCAAAGGCCCTGGGAGCTGGAGCAGGGACCCGGGGACAGCGGCCGGAGTGGGCAGGGCCCGGGGACAGCGGCCGGAGCGGGCAGGGCCCGGGGACAGCGGCCGGAGCGGGCAGGGCCCGGGGACAGCGGCCGGAGCGGGCAGGGCCCGGGGACAGCGGCCGGAGCGGGCAGGGCCCGGGGACAGCGGCCGGAGCGGGCAGGGCCCGGGGACAGTGGCCGGAGCGGGCAGGGCCCGGGGACAGCGGCTGGAGCGGGCAGAGCCCCGGAGGAGAGTGGCCGGAGCGGGCAGGCCCCGGAGGAGAGTGGCCGGAGCGGGCAGGGCCCGGGGACAGCGGCCGGAGCGGGCAGGGCCCGGGGACAGCGGCCGGAGCGGGCAGGGCCCGGGGACAGTGGCCGGAGCGGGCAGGAAGCCGGGGACAGCGGCCGGAGCGGGCAGGGCCCGGGGACAGCGGCCGGAGCGGGCAGGAAGCCGGGGACAGCGGCCGGAGCGGGCAGGGCCCGGGGACAGCGGCCGGAGCGGGCAGGGCCCGGGGACAGCGGCTGGAGCGGGCAGAGCCCCGGAGGAGAGTGGCCGGAGCGGGCAGGCCCCGGAGGAGAGTGGCCGGAGCGGGCAGGGCCCGGGGACAGCGGCCAGAGCGGGCAGGGCCCGGGGACAGCGGCCGGAGCGGGCAGGGCCCGGGGACAGAGGCCGGAGCGGGCAGAGCCCCGGAGGAGAGCGGCCAGAGTGGGCAGGGCCCAGGGACAGCGGCCGGAGCGGGCAGGGCCCGGGGACAGCGGCCAGAGCGGGCAGGGCCCGGGGACAGCGGCCGGAGCGGGCAGGGCCCGGGGACAGCGGCCGGAGCGGGCAGGGCCCGGGGACAGCGGCCGGAGCGGGCAGGGCCCGGGGACAGCGGCCGGAGCGGGCAGGAAGCCCGTGTGGCCGGTGTGGCCAGAGAGGCCATGGGGCCACAGGGAGGTCTGAGACCAGGACGCTGGGCCTGACCGCAGCCCCGGGGGTCTGAGGGAAGTGAGCCCTGCGTGGTTCAGTGCGGGGATGGCCTCGCAGGCCCTTGAGGCAGGCGGCCAAGGCCCAAGGCCTCCGGGGAGACGGAGCTGCTTCCTCGGGGGAGGTCGCGGGAGCCCGAGGAGGGGGTGGGGGAAGGGGGCGCTGGCTGAAATGCCCACTTCTCTGGACCATGGTGTGGCACGGGGAACTGGACCATCAAACCCCGAGGGTCAGGAGCCCCTCCAGGGCCCAGCGGGCACTTTCTGCTCCGGGCTCAGGTGCTCAGAGTTCCTCCGGGAACGTGGCGCGGCCTGGCCTTGTCCGCGGCCCTGCCCCAGGCGGTTCGCCCTCCGCCAGGGTTAACAAGGAGGATTTGTACGCTCAGCACGGGGCCTGGCCACAGAGTCAGAAATGCAGCACCAGCACTCCCCTCGTCCTCTCTTATCTATGACCACCTACCTGCCTGTCTGTCTATCATCTGTCACCTATCTATCACCTATCATCTATCTATCTATCTATCTATCATCTACCCTGTTTCCCTGAAAATAAGACAGTGTCTTATATTAATTTTTGCTCCCAAAGATATGCTTATTTTCAGGGAATGTCTTATTTTTCCATGAAGAAGAATACGGTACTCGTTTATTGTTAAATGAAAATAAAGGAAATTTATTACCTGTATACGGTACAGAGGTATGGTAGTTGTCAACACAAACCAGACAAACTGTGAATCCTACAGTATCAAGAAATTACTCATTTATTCAGTGACAATCATGTCATCATCTTCTGGAACATCATCATAACAATCCAATTCCTGAATTTCCTGGTGAATTTCCTGTGACTCCATTTCTTTCAGAATCAGTGGACCAAATCTCTCCTGTTTAGCAATAGCATTCTGAGACAGAGCTTAGGGGGGCCTTATTTTCGGGGGATGCCTTATATTTCACTCAGAAGGAAACCTGTAAGTCTTATTTTCGAAGATGTCTTATTTTCGGGGAAACATGGTATCTATTTATCTATCTATCTATTATCTATCTATCTTTTATCTATAATCTATCTATCTATCTATCAATCTATCATCTATCTATCAATCAATCTATCATCTATCATCTATCTATCATCTATCAATCTATCATCTATCTATTATCTATCTATCTATCATCTATCTATCATTTATCTATTATCTATCTATCTATCTATCTATCATCTATCTATATCATCTATCTATCATCTATCTATTATCTATCTATCATCTATCTATCCATCATCTATTTATCTATCATCTATCTATTATCTATCTATCTATCATCTATCTATCATCTATCTATTATCTATCTATCTATCATCTATCTATCTATCTATCTATCTATCTATCTATCATCTATCTATCTTCCATCCATCCATTTATTAAAGAATCCATTTTCCATGGAGGCGCAAGGCACCGGGTCAGGGCTGCCTGATGGGCCCGGTCAGAGCCCTGGCGGCCATGTGGAGCCCTGGCCGGCGCTCTCCCCTCCCACGGGGTCCCGCTGCTCCCCGTGGCACCCGGGTCCTCGGAGGAGGTGGCTGAGGAGGGACAGAGAGGTGGTCACAGGTCAGAGGCCCTGCTCTCAGCCCTGCTGGGGCCAAGCAGGCAGCCACCAGGGCTGCCCGCCAGCGGCCGGGGACGGGGCAGGCTGAGCCCGTGGGGCCCGCCCTGCTGGTCCTGCCCCCGCGCCTGCCCCGCATCTGGAACCAACGGCCGGCCATGCCCACCACCGCAGTCCTGGAGGCCTCACGGGCTGCCGGCGTCCCAGGCGGCTGTGGGGTTCAGGCCTACATCACACCTGTGTGGTCCCCGAGGACCCCATGGGGGCACCTGAGGGGGCAGGACCCTCGGGACGGCCACCCAGCAGCCCCCGCTGCGGGAATCAGCTCAGGACCCCGCAGGTGGCTGCTGGAGTCCCCAAGAGCACCCGATGCCCCAGGGCGGCCCCCGGCTGCTGTCCCATATCCAGGACCCCTGCTGCAGACGGGGCTGGGCCAGGGCTGTCAGGACACAGCCAACGGGGCTGGAGGAACGAGGTACAGCTGGATAAAGGCTCAGGGCCCCCCAGTGCCCAGAGCGTCCCCTCAGCCACCAGCACCCGGCCTCAGCCGGCGCCCCGCTGGGTCCCTGTGACCTTGGCGGGCAGCTGGCAGCCTGGAGGGTCTGGATGCCGGGGCCTGGGCAGAGGGCCACGTAGGCTGCGGCAGCTCCCCCCTCTGCCCCTCACGTGGCTGCGGCCTCACGTGCCCGGCATGCTGGCACAGGTGAGGCGGCCTGGCCTGCCCTTCCTTCGCTCCTCTCTCCCTCCCGCGGGTGGTGAGGTGTGGAGGGAGGCACGCCCAGCCCTCAGCCACAGGCACTCCGGCTCTCCCACACGGACAGCGGCTCCACCATGGGCAGGTGGTACCTGGGTGAGTCCCCTAAGCCCTAGTCCTCCCTCCCAGGCCAGGCCCCGTGCACCTCCTGCCTCCCGGAGGGCCGGGCAAGAGCGAGGGGGGCCTCTGGGTGCGGGCGTGGAGCCTGGGCTCACTCGGTCCCGCTCTGAGCCTCCTTTCCTGTGTCCGTCCGTCCGTCTGTCTGTCCGTCCGTCCGTCCGCAGGAGCTCGGAGGCCAGGCCGCTGGGTTCAGATCTTGGCGTTTCCACTTCCCCGGTGCCTGCTGGGAAGTTAATTAAACTCGCTGTGCTCCCGTTTCTTCTTCCCACCCCGTGGGCAGGCGCCTTCCTCACCTGCTAACCTGAGGGTTAACGAGGAGGTTTTGTAAGCTCAGCACGGGGCCCTGCCAGAGTTCAGAAATTCGGTACCAGCGCTCTCCTCATCCTCTTCCGGCTATGACCACCTGCGTCTCTTTGTCTGTCTATCACCTGTCACCTATCTACCTGTATCTATCTAATCTATCATCTATCCGTCTATCTATCTATCATCTATCTATCTTCTATCATCTATCACTTATCTATCACCTAAATATCTATCATCCATCTGTCATCTATCATCTACTATCACCTATTTGTTTATCTATCATCTTCTGTCTATTTATCATCTACAATCATCTATCTATCTATCTATCCATCCATCTTTCTGCCGGTGCTTGCATCCCCTGTTATCCAGAGAGACTCAGGCTGGCCTGCAACACAGACAGATGCCGAGAGGCTGAGACAGTGTGCACTGAGGACGGGGCCCTGGGAGAGGCAGGCGCTGCGGGCGCAGCCAGAGCCGGGGTGTCCAGCCCGCGTGGCCACTGAGGGGTTCTCAGACAAGCCCCTCGCCTCCTGCCCAGTCTTCCTGGCACGCCCAGTGGCACCCTGGCCACCCGGACACCCCCAGGGCTCCTGTGGGAGCACAGAGTCAGCCTGTCTGTTTACCTGTGGAGCAGCTCCTGGCCTCCGGGGTCAGAGCCTGTGAGTGTGACGGGCCAGGCCACGGCCCCGAAGGCGAGGGGAGCAGGGGCCTGGCTCCCGGCTGCAGGCCCGACTACTTCTCATTGGAGAGGTTTCTGTGTTCACAAAGCTACAGGCTCAGCGACCCCTCCGTCAGCACAGCCAGTGGCCGTGATGCCACTTCCCGCTCCCCAGCCCTGTGCCCTGAGAGGGGGCACCCGCCTCACCGCAGCGCAGGGGCTGAGGCACAGGGCACTCAGTCACATGGCAGCGGCCCTGAGCTCACCCCTGACCCACCGCTGCTCAAGGAGGGTCCCCGGGAGTGACGCGCCCCCTTCCACCACTCCCCCTCCCCCCGGAGCCCTGGCCTTGAGCGTCAGCTCACCCAGCTGGGCAGCCGAGCACCTACGGGTGCCCAGCACCAGGCCCCGAGGCAAAGGAGGCCACAGCGGAGGGGGAGGGGGTATCAGAGGGAAAGCCTGACCTACAGCCCGCGCCTGGCTGTCCTCTCGCCCTCCCCCTCATGGCTGTGCCACCTGGGACAGAGCCCTGGTCTCTCTGGGCCACAGACAACGCCCCTGGGGAGGGGAAATAAGACAAAGCACCAGTTGTGGGTCCTCCCTTGCAACCTTGGAGCCCGGATGCCAACCGCCCCTGGTGGCTGGGAAGGGAAGTGCAGCGGCAGGGCAGGCTGGGCAGGGATGGCTGAGCTCTGAGGTGTGAGCAGTGGGTGCAGCTGGGGGGGGGGGTGAGAGAGGGAGCAGAGGCCTGGGGTGTGCCCTGCCTGGAGGGCGCAGGGGCTGGGAGGGGGCGGGGACCGCCCTGCAGCCTGAGGACATGGGGAACTCTGCTGAGAAGGGACCTCTGCTGCTCGGCGCAGGGGCAGCTGCAGGGTGGGGCCTCCGGGGGCGCCCTGTCCCGGGGACAGCACACCCTGGACAGTTTGAAATCCCCGTCTCCTGTGCGGGCGGGCGGCAGCCCAGCAGGCCCGGCGTGGGGGGAGCAGGGCCCAGCCTCCTGGCCTGCGCTCTGGAAATTTCCGTGGGGAGGGTCTGGAGCCCCCGCCAGTGCCTGCCCCGCCTGCCAGCACCTCCTCACGCCCCAGGGGCCCCTGTCCACGCGGGTAAACATTAGCTGGCACAGTTAATGTTTAATGCCCCCTCATCCGGGCCGCCGGGCATTCTCCGGGCAGAGCGGCGGGCGAGGCAGAGGGATCAGTCCGGTCCACGCAATGGCAGGGGTGCCCACGGCCGAGGGTGAGTGTGTCCCCCAGACGCATGGGGCACAGGCGGCCCCGCTGGGACCCGTCTGGAGAGGCAGCCGGGTCCCAGGTGTCCCCCCCTTCCCCCAACCCCCGGCCTCAGCCTCCCCGCTCAGCGCCCTCCCTCCCAGGGCCGCCTCCAGAGGAAGGACATCTGCTGTAAGAGGACCCTCCCTCACCACAGCTGGAATGCAGAGCCCCGGGCCCCAGGGTGCCAGCGTGGCCTGGGCATGGCGCCTGCCCTGGCTCCGCGCTTCCCGGCTCCTGGGCTCAGACAGGAGGCAGGCGGCGTCTGGGCGGGGTGACGGAGGCCCCAGTAAGGGCCAGCCCCAGAGGTACCTCACGGAGGGGACTCAGCCTGGACGCCAGCAGGGCCTTTGTGTCTGTGGTGGCTTCTCGGACGCTCGGGAGGGGCCCCTGGGTGGTGAGGGGCCGGGTAGGCAGGCGTCTGACACTGACTCCCTGGCACCTTGGATGAGGCCTGAATTCGAACAGCCACCAGGCCACCGAGTGGGAAGGCCCTGCCCGCTGCCTCCCCTCGGCCTCCGTGTGGGGAGGCCCGCTGCCTCCCTCGGCCTCCGTGTGGGGAGGCCCGGAAGCTGGGGTCGGGAAGCGGGGTCGCCGGCCCTGTGGCCTCCAGGGCGCAGCTCGCACAGCCCGGGAGGTGCCACCCTGCTCGCCCCCTCCACCTCAGGCACAGCCCCCTCGGCCTAGGAGGACCCAGGAGGGCAGGAGAGGGGCTGGCGTGCGGGGAGCTCTGGCTGCCCTCCAGGCCCCAAGGTCGAGTGCGCCCAGCTCCAGGCCGAGGGCGGGGCTGCCGGTGCAGGCGGCTGTGCCAGGCGGGTGCCAGGGCGAAGGCCTTGGGAGGCAGCAGGAGGAGGGGCAGCCCACAGGGGGTGCCGGCCCTCGTTCTCACCATGTCCTGGGTTCCAGCCCCGGCTGCCCTCACGGCTGCATGAGGGGGATGCCCCTCCGAGCGCCCCCTCCCGCGGCTGCTGGACCAGCAGTGCCCGCGCTCCGGAGAGCAGCTGGGAGAGAAGCGTCTAGAAGCCTGGTTCAGGACCGTCCTACCTTCCTGGGGTTTGAGACGAGTCTCCCATCTGGGCTTCAGCTCCCTCCCCCTCTGTCCGTCCGTCTGTTCGCCTCGAAGCCCCTTGCGGGGATGAGTCTCATGGGGAGGCCGCGGGGGGGGGGGGGGGCAGTGGGCGGCGCCTTCGCGGCCTCTTCCTGCTTCTTGTACAGGGAGGGGCCTCCCTGGCCGCTCCACCGAGGCAGCAGCCCTGGAGAGGTGTTCGCGCCCGCCAGCTCCTCCCGGACTGCCCTCACCGCCACCTGCCCACTGGGCTCCGGGTGTGGCTGGGGTCAGAGCCCGTGTCTGTGGCCCTGACCTGCCCTCCCCTGTCTCTCCAGGTGGCAGCCCCGGGGCGGACGTGGACCCGTTCCACTACGGTAAGCCCGGTGCCCCCGGGGCCCAGCCCTCCCTCCGGCTGTGACCCACACTCCCGGGGACGGGCGGGTCTGCCCGGAACCCACCCTCCTGCTCTCCTCTCCAGACTATGAGGTCGTCCGCAAAGGGGGCCTGATCTTCGCCGGCCTGGCCTTCGTGGTGGGACTCCTCATCATCCTCAGTGAGTGGGCTGCCTCGGGTCGGGGTGCCGGGCACGCCCCCTCTCCCCCGTGCAGGCCCTGCGGGAGGAGTGAGCCTCCCCTCCCCTCCCCTCCCCTCCCCTTCCCTCCCCTCCCCTCCCCTCCCCTCCCCTCCCCTCCCCTCTCCTCCCCTCCCCGCCTCTCCCCTCCCCTCCTCTCTCCTCTCCTCCCCTCCCCTCCCCTCTCCTCCCCTCCCCGCCTCTCCCCTCCTCTCCCTTCCCCTCTCCTCCTCTCCCCTCCCCTCTCCTCCTCTCCCCTCCTCTCCCCTCCCTTTCTCTCTCCTCCCCACCCCAAGCTAGATGTGGGGACCAGCAACGCCCTGATGCAGGGAGGCATCTTGGGGTGCCTCCCTGCTTGGTCCCTGGACCGCACAGAGGAGGTTCCATCTTTCTAAAGTGCACCCTCGCCCAGCTGGTGTGGGCCAGTGGTCGAGGGTCGACCTACGAACCAGAAGGTCATGGTTCGATTCCAGTCGGGGCACATGCCCGGGTTGTGAGCTCAGTCCCCAGTGTGGGGCGTGCAGAAGGCTCTCTCTCATCAATGATGTTCCTCTCTCTCTCCCTCTCCCTTTCTCTCTGAAATAAAAAGATAACGAAAAAGAAAAAATGGAATAAAGTGCACCCTGCAGCTGAAACCGGTGTAGCTCAGTGAATAGAGCGTCGGCCTGCGGACTGAAGGGTCCTGGGTTCGATTCCGGTCAAGGGCATGTACCTTGGTTGCGGGCACATCCCCAGTCAGGGGTGTGCAGGAGGCAGCTGATCGATGATTCTCCCTCATTGATGTTTCTAACTCTCTATCCCTCTCTCTTCCTCTCTGTAAAAAAATCAATAAAACAAAAAAATAAATAAAACAAGTGCACCCTCTAGGGGACCCAGGAGCTGCCAGGAGGGAAGGTCCCCCTGAGCGGAGGGGGCCAGGCCAGGGAGGTCCCCTCTACCAGACACTCACACCCTCAGATCCGCACGGTCCTGGCTGGGCCACCTCCGCCCATGTACCCTCCTCAGCCCGGGCCCCGCGGTCCCGCTCCTGCCCACGGCTCCAGCCGCCCGAGCAGAGCTGCTCAGCTGCCCGGCGCCCGCCCCGCGCCCTCGCACCTGCTGCCGGGGGCCGGGCGGCGGGCACTGAGGCCGGGGCCCGCTGCCATTCACGTGGAGCCCGGCTCCCGGGCCAGGGCGGCTCCGCGTGGGGTCGGGGCGATCCCACTGCCCCCAGAGGTGGAAGGGGGCCGGCAGAGGGCCGACGTGGCCGCGGGTTCAGGCACGGCAGGGGCAGGGACAAGAAGGATGCGTGGATTTGTTCTGATTGAACCGGAAGAAAAATGCACGGAAATGCGCTGAGTGGACAGACACGGACGGTGCCCGGGACCTCAGGCGCCGGGCAGCCTCCCCACCTCGGCTCTGTCTGCAGACACTGCGCCCGGCTCCCGGCGCCCGGTGCCCGGCTCGCGGCTCCCAGCTCCCGGCTCCCGGTGCCCGGGCCCCTGGAGGCGCACAGGGCGGTGCTGAGCTCACAGCGCGAGGCAGGAGCCCTCAGTCTCAAAGGCCCACTGAGCAGCTGCTCTGTGCCCGCCCGGGGCTGAGGGCATGGCCAGGGCCCGGCCCACTGTGGACCCGCTGGGTCGGCGCCCTGGGCCTGGCCAGCTCTCTGTGCGGCCGGCGGGGGCGGGAGGGCCGGGCTGAGTCTCGGGGGGAGCCTCCTGGAAGTGAGGGGCCCACGGAAACCGACCGCTTCTCTTCCAGGCAAACGGCTGCGCTGTGGGGGCCAAAGGAAGCACCGGTGAGTGCCCCGGGGAGGCCGAGGGGGCAGGAGGAGGGCCTCTGAGGGCGTTGCCCCCCCCCCCAGGCCCCAGACTTCCCCTCTTCCCCGTCACTGCCTCTCACGCCTCCTCTCCTCCCCCAGGCCGGGCGCCGACGAGGAGCTGTGATGGCAGGTGCGCAGGACGGGCGGGCGGCGGGCGGCCGGGGCAGAGGAGGGAGGAGGCTGGGCGGGAGGCTGGTAGGGTGTCTGTTCACCCACCAGGCAGCCTCACCCGTCATGGGCGTGGCGCGTACGGCCCGGGGGCTGCAGAGGTGCCGGGAGAAAGGGGGGAGGAATAAGGAGAGACGGGAAAATCCTGGCCTGGCCGTCCTGCCCACCACTGCCTCTGTCTTCCAGGATCGGCCAGGCCACCACCATCACCACAGGCCTCTGTGCCTGGGGCCAGGCCCTCGGGCTGAGGGAGCACCGGGCTTCCCCCTGGACCGCCCCTCCCCCAGGGCCGCCTCTCCCTGATAATAAAGCCGAGTCAGACATGGCTTCTGCTCCCGCCTCCCCCTTAGCCGCCTGCCCCACGCCTCCGGGCTGGGGCACAACGCAGCCCGCTCCCCGGCCTCCCACCACGGCTGAGGCGCCGGCCGAGGAGCCCTCAGCCTCTCCTCGCCCTGAGCCATCACGTGCCAGACGGGACTCCGCCTGTCCTCCAGGGCCAGGCCGGGAGGGGCAGGATCCAAAGGCCACGGGCTCCTGGGCGCTGGCCAGGCCTGGGCGCCGCTGGGGGCACCGCTGAGGCTGCTGTGCGCCGGCTGGGCTGCCCCACGTGCAGTGGATGGTGGCCACACTGCGCACCACCTCCCCTGGTGTACCCAGGCCAGGCCGGGCTCTGCGCCCAGCACGTGCTCTCCCTGCCAGCCTCCCCCGCCCGCCCCTGACCCCGGCGCTGAGCCCGGCCATGCCTTTTCTGCTCTGGGCTCGAGGCTCATTGAGCCCCCACCCCCTCCAGTGTATTGTATGTGGCTGCTGGCTTGTTGATCCAGGACGAGTGGCCAGGGAGTGAGCAGCAAGGGGCTTTTGTTACCACTTCCTGCAGCCCCTGTCCATCCTTGCGGGCCCCAGTCAAGAGCTTCGGCCCAAGGTGGCCAGGCTGGCCGCCCACCACACCCACTCCCTAATGCCAGTGGGCCCTGCAGCGCCACAGGCTCCCTGTGGGCAGCGTCGCCCTCACCCTGCCTTCCCCCCGGGGGCTGGAGGGATGGCGGGTCCTGGCACCAGCTGGTGTCCAGTTTCCTCCTCTGGGTCTGCAGGCCTCCGAGGCAGGGGAGGGAGGACGGGCCGGGAAGCAAGTGTGCGGGTTTAAAGTGTGTGTGGGGGAGGCTGGCTGGTATGGCTCAGTGGTTGAGTGTCGACCTATGAACCAGGAAGTCATGGTTCAGTTCCCGGTCAGGGAAAAGGCCAGGTTGCAGGCTCAATCCCCAGTGTGGGCTGTGCAGGAGGCAGCTGATCAATGACTCTCTCATCACTGATGTTTCTATTTCTGTCTTTCTCTCCCCTCCTCTCTGAAATCAATGAAAATAGATTTAAAAATAAAATAACATGAGCGGGGTGGTTTGGGGAGCAGAGGCGGTGAGACACCATCTGCGTGAGGATGGAGCTCTCTGCCTCACCGGCTGCCCAGGACCCAGCCCACAGCCACACCGAACCCCGGCACACAGACACAGGGGAGCCTCCTCCTCAGAGTGTGCCTGCAGGGGGCGCACCGGGACAGACAGAACGTGACGGCCCAGCCCTGCAGGGAGCTCAGTGTTCTTACTGAGATGGCACACCCGTGGGCTGTCCGTGGCCGTGGGGGACGGGACAGGAAAGGGGGTCCCCGCGGGCTTTCAGGGGCTCCGGCAGTTTCTTGGATGAGCAGAGCACCCCCAGGAGGCCAGGAGAACGCAGCAGGAGGGGAGTATTCGCACACAGGCCCCCACGCCTGCCAGCGGCTGGGCCGGAGAGACAGCCCTCTCTGTCGCCGCTGCGAACCTCCAGCCCAGGGGTCCCGAGGCGCCATGGGGACCAGGGCGTCTGCCGGAGGACCTGGGTGTGCTCAGCCACCAGACACTCAGCGCCTCCAGCCTGCGGACCGGCCACCAGGCTGGCTCCCTCAGGCTGGCGCCCGACCAGCTGCAGGCGCATCCTGCCGACCTGGACCTGGACCCGCTCCTCTCCCCTCTCCTCCTCTCCCCTCCCCTCTCCTCCCCTCCCCTTCCCTTCCCATGAAGGTATCGTGGACGGGAGCTACTGGACTCTCGTTTCCCTTGGGACCTTCCACAATCCATGCAAATGGAATCATAGAGTAGCCCAGCCTGAGAAGCCATTGGATGCATTTCTCCCATCACAACAGAAACGGCCTGCGGTTCCCATCCTCACCACCAGAGGGGGCGCGTGTCCTACTGGAACTCTTCAAATCTGAGTTTTCCACCCTCTTGCTTAGGGTTGGGTGGGGGCCTTTGCAGCGAGGAGGGGCCCCAGAATTGTCTGCCAGGAGGCCAGGTTCCTGCGGGCCCTAAGCTCGCCTCCTTCCCTTGCACCCCTCAGGGCACCGCCCTCCTGTGGGGTGGTCCTCGGCCAGGGTCCTGAGCCCTCTCTTGCTCTGGGAAGTGGGGAGCACGGAGGTCTGCACCTTCCCCAGGGCTGCCACAGCCTCCAGCCCCAGTCCGATCCCCAGCACCAGGGCAGGGCATGGGGAGGTGCAGGGGGCGGGGCTGAGCAGCCTTCTGGGCACAGCTGCTTGGGACCTGGGGGTTTGGATCCCCCAGGGGAACTTAGCGGAAGTCACTGGCCTGGTAGGTGGGCAGGGCCGAGGGGGCCTGAGGAGAGTGGGGGCCAGACCCAGGAGTGGGGCTGGAAGGTCCCGGGAGCTCAGCTGGACCTGCTGTTCAGGGGAGGAGAGGCAGCCCCCCGCCCCAGAGCTCCTCCCCACTGCTCCCTGCCCCTCCGGCGAGTGTCTCTGGGCCCCGAGGCCTGGGCTGGCCTTGGACACGGGCCTGGGGCCGCTCCGAGCCTGCCCGGCTCCTCACTGCACATGTGGAAGAGCAGGTACAGACCAGGCGGGCAGGAGGGGCACTGTGAGCCATCACCCACACCCTGAATACTGCCAGTTTCACCCTCTGCCCCTTAATGAACGGGCACTCACACATGGGGGGGGGGCAGAGAAGGACCCTGGGGGGACGGGGGCAGAGGGTCCCTCTCTGGGCCTGACAGGCCCCCTGGCTGGTGGCCCCCGGGGGGCGGGGTTCCCTCTGGGTACTGGGCTCTCCTCGGGAGAATCAGAGGCATGGACTGGAATGGATGACCTCTGGCCCCATAGCATTGACATCTCTTCTGGAGGAAGGGCGCCCGTGGCACAAACTTCTGGTTTTTCTAAACTTTGAGACTTTGGGGACACTGCAAGCAAGCTCAACTCCCCCAGCTGGGCAAGGAGGCCCCCAAACGCACCCTGGGCACCCGGGCATCTGCCCTGCCCCTACCGCTCCCCTGGTCCACCACTGCTCAGGAGTGCCCCTGGGCAGACAGGGGCGGGGGTGGTGGTGAAGGGGGCCCAGGGCTGAGGGGGCCCCTGGGCAGACGGGGGCCCAGGGCGGGGGGTGCGGAGTCTCCCCCGTCTCTCCTGGCCCCGGATGGCGGCTGCTGCAGAGAGAGGGGCCGGCTCCCATTGACCTCCGGTCCAGGCAGCCCAGCGGTGATCCAGCCAGACCCCGTCGGCCTGGCCCAGGGACGGGGCACAGGCCACACACCAGCCTGTCCTGCCTTCGGGGGAGGCCCTGGCCTGGCCTCGATCCAGGCCGGGCAGCGCTCTCGGGGGCCGTGGGAGCAGGGCTGGGCGGCGGGCTGGAGAGCAGGCCAGGCCCAGCCTTTGGGAGCTGCGCTGGCCTGGGCTCCTCCCACTGGGCAGACGGGCCCCCAGACAGACAGGGCCTGCGCTGCGGCAGGGGGAGTGACGGGCCGGACCGGTGCCTCTCAGCCTGGCAGACACACGGGTCGGGAGGCCACACAGGAGGCAGGTGGGCGACCCTGCCAGGCCCTGGCACAGGCTGTGGGCAGTTCTGCTCTGGCCCTGGGGCTGCGGCCCTACCCAGGCACCTCCCCCAGCCGCCCAGCCTGGCCTCCACACTGCACCTGCCGGGAGCCGTCCCTCAGCTCCTCACGTGTGGCTCCTTCCGGGATTGCCCACTGTCGCCCGGTCCCGTGCTGTCACCAGTTCCCAGTGAGCCAGCGGAGGGAGGGGGCTCCCGGGCGGCCCTCGGGCTCACGACCTGCAGCTCAGTATGGCCGCTGCCAGGAGGCACAGAGCTGGCTCGGGCCCGGCTGCCCTGTGTGACCCTGAGAGCCACAGTCTGCCTCTGGACTGGGCTGTGGGAAAAGCAAACACAGGATAAATGGCAGGCACCGGCTTCCACGGGAGGGGCTCCGGGAGGGAGAGTGGGAGCTGTGGCCAACGCCTCCTCTCTCCTCCCCTTCAGTCCTCCCCCTCATCCCTCCCCCCTCAGTCCTCCCCCCTCATCTCTCCTCCTCCCCCTCAGTCCTCCTCCCCCTCATCCTCTTCCCCCTCGTTCCTCCTCCCCCTCAGTCCTCCTTCCCCTCATCCCTCCTCTCCCTCATCCCTCCTCCCCCTCAGTCCTCCTTCCCCTCGTCCCTCTTCCCCCTCAGTCCTCCTCCCCCTCGTCCCTCCTCCCCTCTCAGTCCTCCTCCCCCTCGTCCCTCCTCCCCTCTCAGTCCTTCTCCCCCTCAGTCCTCCCCCCTCCTCAGTCCTCCTCCCCCTCGTCCCTCCCCCCCTCGTCCCTCCTCCGCCTTCAGTCTTCCTCCCTCTTGTCCCTGCTCCCCTTCAGTTCTCCCCCTCTCAGTCCTCCTCCCCCTCTGTCCTCCCCCTTGTCCCTCCTCCCCCTCAGTTCTCCTCCCCTTCAGTCTTTCTCCCCCTCAATGTCCTCCCCCTCAGTCCTCCTCCCCCTCAGTCCTTCCCCCTCATCCCTCCTCCCCTCAGTCTTTCTCCCCCTCAGTTTTCCTCCCCCTCGGCCCTCCTCCTCTCTCAGTCCTCCTCCTCCCCTTCAGTCCTCCTCCCCCTCAGTCCTTCCCCCTCATCCCTCCTCCCCTCAGTCTTTCTCCCCCTCAGTTTTCCTCCCCCTCAGC